ATCATAAAAGTATTTTTATTCTCATGGTAGAAAAACACTTTAAAACAGTGCATCAGTCCGTTCCAAGCAGGAAGCAGTGAACTAATGTCCAAGCCATAGCTACGTCGTTTGGTCGTTTTCGAGGACAAATGACGCAGCGATTTCTCGACGACGCTGAACGAGTTATAAATCATTTTTGAAAATCTTGATTTTTAATTGATCAGAAATGCGTGATCATGATTATGTATGTTATATATAAATATCCTATGATTTATTATTTTCATGAATATGACTGTTCTTGTGGTTTACAGGACATTAGCCCTTGGTTAACGAAAATGTCGCGGGACACAGAGGCGCGCGAGAAAGAACTGACTCATCAGGTCCACCGGGAAATTCTCATCCGCTGCATCGATTCCGTTAAAACGTTAGCGCCCATTTTGATATGCGCCATGAAGATATTTGTACAGATTCATAATCAAGGTAACGTAGACGGGTATATAAATATTTGTAACGAATACCTAAGTTTCTTACACCTAAGCCGGTATTTGCTTCGTGTATCCATATTTTGTTTTTTGTCGTTTGAGATATGCAAACTTGTGCCAAAATGTACACTGTAACTTGTTTGTCCGAAACGTGGATAATAAGCATAAATTATAGAACTGATTTTCACAGTGATTGACAGGCGGTCGTGGTTAGATTTTCTCCTCTCAGATACTCACAAGTTAAGCCACAGCTTATGGTCCGGAGAATAAAATAGCTGTGGCCAGCCAAGAATTGGTACTCAGGTTGTTCGACTGCAGCCCTAAGCAAAAGACAAATCGTGCCACTTATTGACAGCCCATTTCGAAGTTCACTTGGGTAATCAGAAGGATAATTTAATAAATACATTGACACAATTACAGGAAAATGGCTAGATGTGGGTGTAGACAATAAATAAATGAGTCGATAGACTAATACGCGTTAGATGGATAATTACACTGAGTCTGTCTGTGGATTGGCGAATAAAAGTATTGGTGCATAAGCGATGAGATAATTAGATCGATAGGCCGGCATAATGGTAAGCAAATAGGTACGTAGACTGATAAATAGGTAGATGGATATTGCAACAGAAAAAACGTACGTAATCCTTTCAATGTCAATGTCGTGTACACGTGAATTGCAGACTGCATTTATGGCCGGATTGGGACTCTTTATCGCACACTGTTTAGACAGAGTCTTGCGGTCCCCGCTTTGAGTCTGTGTAGCCGAACGGTGATCATCTGTTGATAGTAAGCTTCCTAATGAATGAAGTACGACGCGGCTATCATGCCTGTGAACTTGTGAATAATTTCTGATTACGCTTTCATTGTGGTGACTGTGTGAGATCACCAAGTCAGCGTAAAGTCGGGTAGCCGGGAGATGGCAGATGGTCACATGTATCCATCATTTTGTCCGTTAATGTCTGATGTAGAAAGTCAATTGCGATTCCGCTGTCAGACTTGAATTTCGATGATCTCCATTATATTTTATTATTCCGTTATGATGACCTGATTTAACGGGGAGTACAAGTTCATGTATTTGGCAAGTGGCAGTCATCTGTATCAAATACTTGATTTTATATCTCGTTTTACAGACGGATCGAAAGCTGTCTTTGATCATAAGTGTAAGTTTGCATTTTCGCCTGATCTGATTACTCAAGCTGTCGGCAACTATGGAAAACTGTTCATTGATATTCGATGTGAAGAAAGAAAATACATAGAGAATTTAAGTTGGTGCCTGCAAATTGGAGAGATTCCATCTCTTGGCTAAATGACTACTCCTTCTTGACTTATTGATCTGACGCAGCCGTTACAACAAACAGTGAAATAAGCGCACAATATCCCAAATAGGTTATAAATCAAAATGCTAATCGTCGAAATACAAGTATAAAAAAGCAACACATGCACCAGCAGAAAGAATACGATTTATGGATAATCGGTAGGGGTGAAGGGATAAAATAACTGATATATGCGGCCATAGCAACCATATGCCAATGCTATAGATTCAAACTCGCAATCGCAATACCTTAAGCTAACTTAATGACCTCGTATGGTCACCACAGTAGAATTGTAATCTGGAATTCAGAACTGTCACAGTGGCATAGTACTTCACTTACAGCTTACCATTCATGTATAGCATGATTGCCTAAGCCAGTTAGTTGACTCAGATGACCACATCGTCCAAATCCAAGCATACAGATTTAAAGCAGCGATTACAGCGACTGCATACCTGCACGAGAACATCACAGACCGACTTGTGGCATCCCTTGCTTCGTGAAATTTATGGCATGGCGCTCGAAGCTGATACGATGCTGTCACTCGAGGTATTCCCTTTTGGCTTTGAATTTATC